GCAAACCCGGTAACTGGCAAGGAAAGATTCAACAGAGGGACCCACAACATGCCCCATAGGAGCAATATGCTTCAGAGGCACAGCAGAACAGACCTCCATCTGCAACAGCAAGCTGCGAGGATGCCCTCCGGTGAGCGGGTTGGAATGCGAGAAACCCCGGCTCCACCTCCACACTTATTTATTGCATTTGATGCTTTGAACACTGTTCAGTTGCTGTTTAATAAGTGTTTACATACTTGTACATATTCATACGCATAGACATTTATATAAATTCTATTTGCAATTCCACTTCACTTTTATTTTGACAGACTTTAAACATCATAAGATTGGCATATATAAGTAGATCTATACTGAGATTACACAATCAATGAAGCTCTATTTCGAAAATACATTTTTGCATATATAGTACATACTTACCTCCTATTGTATACAGAAATTCCAATTTTACATTAAAGAAATCATTTTGGAACTTATTCTCTTTAATTATGATCAATATTATAAATTTGTGAATGTTGGGTAATTTTAGTATACTTTTCAATTAATAGGTCTACACGGACTGTTGTATCCACCTCTTCTGGATATCAAACAAATTATTCGAGAGCGGAACACCAGACTGTCAACAGATGATCAGTGTATCTTACTGAAGAATCAGATAGACACAAAGGATAAGGAAATCATGCAGAAAAAATTACGTCTGATAGAAGGACTGCAATATGAGGATAAAATGGCGAAGGTGGTAGGCAATCTACAGATCGATAAATCTAATTTAGAGAAAACAATGTCATTACAAATCGCCAAGATAGAAGAGTTGGAAGAGATATTGCAGAACGAGAAACTTGCTGACTTTACAAATCGATTGGCAAAGTCAAAGGACCAAAATAGCAAATTACGTAATGAGCTACACATGAAGAATGAAGCACTTGAGCAACTAGAAAGGCATCTGTCTGAACCACAGCAGTATGATGAGAAAACCACTAAGACGATAACCAGCTTACAGTTTGACAAAGCCAACTTGCAGCAAACCGTGTCATCACAAGTCGTCAAGAAACAAAAGTTAGAGGAGACAAAACTCAAGATGGAGGAGCAAATCAATGACCTGAAATATCAACTGTCTAAGGCTGAAGTCGAAAACACTGAACTTCATAACAAGTTCCATGCAACTGTGGAGAAAACAACAGATACCAATAAAGAAGTTGACAGTGATAAATATGGCAGGGATGAAGGTGGACGTAAAAGAGGAAAATTGCAGAAAGAAAGAACATCGAAAATACCATTATAGTTTTGTACATTTGTCATTCAGTATGACTTTGAATCATGATAATTTTCTTGTATTTTCTCTGGAAGTTTTACAAAGATAGAGATAAATTGATTCATGTTGGGAGACATTTTTTGTGCAGGATTGTTAAAGTTGCACTATAGTATGGTTTACACATGGTTTAACATAAAGTTGAAACCCATGTATATTAATTACCGTTTGCATAAACTTTCTGCAACTTTAGACGACTTCCTGATATCTCAAGAAACACCAGAAAAGGAAAAACATGAAAATCAGATTTTCATGACACACACTGAAGTGCATAGGCATTAGTCGTAGCGGAAAGGTGTGGCCAGTAATTATTCACTAGTACTTAGCATTAATTAACGAAGTTCCAAAGCAGAGACTTTATGACGACATTTTCTATTAGTTTTTTTATTCCATTGAATTTTGACAGATTTCATTTAAACTTTGCATTAACATTACTCATAATGGGTTGCTGGTGTACTTCAAAATAACCGACTGGTTCTTTAAGTTTTATATTCAATACCAAGGCATTCTGTTACATATTTTGTTTAAATTGGATACCAAGGCACTTTATTAGACACATTTTGCTTTAGTTATTTTTGATTTTGACATTTAACCAGCTTGTGATTTTTGTGTGGTGGCCTTGTAGGTTTATTTTTATGTGTTCTTAAGGTAGAATTGCAGGTTTGTGGGCCCTTGGGAGTGAATTTTTTTTTTTATTACATGTATTATTATTATCCAAACAGTCTGTTAAAATTTTGTAAAATTGTGAATAGTGGAACATACTCAAAAAATGATTTTAAAATATAGACAACAGGTGCAAACATTCTCTCTTTTGAATGCTTAGCAAGATTTAGCAAGGCTTTACATAAATAATAAAAAAGAAACATGGTGAAAAAAAGAAATGACGGGATCTCATAATATGCACAAAACGATAATACATTTAAATTTGGAACTGTTACAGGCATTTTAATTATGAGCAATAGCAAACTTACTGAGTGAATTGTTATGCAAATCAGCAATTATCTCAGCTTCTTTTTAGTGCACATCTCAGAACTTAAAATTGGTCATAGGCGCTTTGACCTTTTGTTTTGAAATTTTCACAAATGATTGACAATGTGTTTATCTTCAAAACGACATTGGGGCATTGTTTTTGGTTGAACAGTGTTACAACAATCGTACAGACAACTAGCCTGGGTGTTAATTTATGCATAAACTTAAAGTAATGAAATTTGAGCTGTTGCCCTGCAAAATTGACAACCGGTAGACAGTTTGCAAGACGGCACTTTCTGCATAGTAAACAGATGTACCCATAAACCAATTTTGACAAGAAACAGAAGCATGGTTTAGAAACTAATTTTTTTAAAATCACTTTTGACCAAAAAAGCACATTTTTGTGCATATTTCAAACTATAGTGTCTATAAAAGAAAAATAATAACAAAATCTTTAAATTCATACAATAAGCTTTCCGAAAATATATAGTTTTGTGGACAGGGGAGGTCATCTTGGTTTACTAATTAACTAATTAAAATAAATGTCAGTAAACTGCATCTCTACCTTAAAGGGTTGTTGTCATCACACTGCACATGTGTGACATTTGTGTTGATAAACATTAATTTTCCCACATTTAAATGCACTCTTCTAATGGAAAACACAAGTATGAGGTTTGACCTGGGTGTGACTTGCAATTACTGTCGGTGACTCCATCGATACCATCCAATCACCTGAAAAAATATCCAATTAATGCTTGGAACAGTTTAATTGTACTTGTTGATCTGTGCAAAGTTGCCATCTTTGTTTATATGAGACATATATATCTTGCGCATGCAAAGCGCAACTCTGTATGATCAGTGGTATTTAATTCCCAGAAACAATCTTTGGACACATCATTCAAAGTTTCTCAGGCATGCCTTGTTCAATTTATATTGTGATTTGATATAAAATGGTCGACTTAGGCCTATGTTGTTTTATATTTTCTGTGTATGTTCAACCATATATTGCATGTATCTTGACCAATTACTGTCAAATTAAAAAAAAATTAAATAATAATGTTCTACATTTTGCATGTCTATTTGGTGACCTCTGACTGACTGTTGGTAATTTTAAATTGGCAATTCACACAGCAACTAGAAACTGGAAGGGGACTATTTTATTGACATTGACAATGACTATCATATGACATATGACAGATATGAGCTGTTCATATACTGTAAAATACTTTATTTTCGCTTGGAGTTAATTTTTGCTATTTTCTTTATAGTAGGCATGATCCAGTGAAATTACCTTTTTTTCCTATATTTTACATTCAACGAAAAACACTAGCCATTACTTCTACTCGTGTAAAAAGCATCATTTCTGCCAGCTTCTGTTGATGCAAAAAATGTTATAGGCTAAATATCTTGAGGTTAAAGTTGCCAAATAACTAACAGATTATGTAATGCGGCTAGAACCCCAATTATACAGTTAAGTTTTAAACACATGCCAAGTCCATGTGCTGCTGATATCAGATTATTTTATTTAAAGTCTGAAGTCACCATTGTATAAGATATTTACTGGATTTATCCAATTATAACAGGACACGGGAAGACAACACAGCGCAGTGACAGTTTTAGTTCAGCAAATCAAAAAAGTTAAATTTGTGAAAATGATGAAAAAATAAATAGTTTTTTCGTTTTTTTTAACTTTTAAATATGCATATTTTGCTCTGTAAAATACCAAAATCCAACACAAATTTAAGCAAAAATCAAAGTTTCCTTTGTTTTCATAAGCACAGACTGCTTCGGGTGTAAAGCTTTCCTGGTCTATAAGATATGAAAGATATTTTAAATCCAACTTAGTTTTCAAAGTGTTCAAACCGCCTAGATTCAAATCCTCTTTTCCTATCTTATAAGGGCGTTTATTGAGTGAGTACTCTACAGCTTTGCTTTTATTTACTATCTTTAGCAGAATAGATTTCCCTCCTCCCTGCAGCCTTTTCTGTAGTCATTTTTTGGCTTTATGCTTCCCCTCCCCTCCTAAGGTCTATTAAATGCAAACGCTAAAAATGTCAAAATTATGGCAAACTATGATATTTTCAATGCACATACCGGTTGAATACATTTTGTAATCATGTCAGAGCCAAAACTGTTAATGTTTCTTTTTTCTTTTTTTCGGGGAGGGGGTCAGCATGTTTTATAATATAATGTTGGGGGGTCACCCACTTTTTTTTATTTGATAGGGGTGGGTCAACTGAGATTTACAGCTGGCAAAATGGAATCTGCCGACCCCCCTAGGCCGAAATAACTGACCAATCCCCCACCTCGTTTGCAATCGCGACCGGTGACCCTAACACCATTAGGTATTGATTAAATTCACAAAATTGGTCGTATGGGTTGTAGGACTAACGACTTTGCACCTTAATAATCAGATATTATTTCTATCTCATTAATTGTTCATTTTTTTGCCATTTCGCTATTTTTCTATTTCGCAATTTATTCCTATATTAAGAGCCCTGAACAGAAAAGCAGACAAAGTCAATGGCATTTTATCGCATAACATAAGCCATACTTAACCGTTCACGTATCAACATTCTTTCAAATAACATACCGCTCAGTTACCGCTATAAATGCACATAGTCGAGCAGACGAACGTCACAGTTTTTACAAAAAGAGATATGAATATTCATTATTCGTGGTCGCGTTCGAGTCAAATGAGTTCTCGCGAGCTCACGGCCATACAATCGAGAGCTGAAGTTGGCGTCCAAAATGGCTACCTTTTGACATGACAACCAGTGGTTGGCGGAGATGATTGTGTTTTGTGTAGTCTATTTAGCTCCCGCCTGCCCATTGTGAGCAAAGTACTGCATAATGCCACCCAAGAAGGCGGTGACGAAGCCAGCAGGGAGAGGGGTAGCCCCAGTGCGAAAAGCACCTGTCAAAACAGCGGCCCCTGCTAAAGGTGAGAACTGTTTTACAGTTTTGCTACAGTTCTGTCGCCCTTAGTTCCGTGGTACATGTAGTTAGTTTTATAATTAATCGTTTGTATATTTCGTACGTTTTGAGATGTAAAACCATCGAGCGTTAGCAAAAAAACCGCTTCTTACAACGAAACCAAGATTTATAGAACTGCAAAGTATGCTTTGACAATCGGCGTTAGAGTATTAATACTAAGTAACTTAATAGAAATTGTCAAGATAGGACCCTCCCGTTCACAGGTGCCTTGACGACCTATTCGTATCAATACACGAACGTCTATGGGGCGGAACGACCAGTGCAGGAGCTTACCCTTGCTGAAAATAATAGAAATTACAGAATTATAACAGTTTGGTACTGTAAAGCATCTTATGTAATTAAATTAATGTACGTCCATGTATTTGACACGAATAGCCTATGTGCACCCATTGGCCTGGTCAAGTCTGTAATTTGCAACTTCCCATTCCACACTCACCAATCCTACGAGTTTGTACGGGTACATCAAGCCCACGTCGAGGTGTTCATAAACTTGGAATCATGACAAATTGACATTGGCCGATATTTGCATTTGGTCATCGGCTGCCCACTAGAATAACTCAGCCATGAGTCCTGATATAACAATATGCATGTATACAGCACTGATTCCCCACACATGTCAATTTATACATTGTGTCAAATAAGGTAGAAGTTTATTAAGGATGTAGTAGACATTTTCAGGAAGTAAATTTCAGACTAATTATTTTCATAAGAGTTGTTTTAACTCAAGCTGTATGTACTCTATGAAAGCCAACATTTCAAACTTGAAAATCAATGTAGACGCAACCTTCACATGGTCATGTGATCATGATTGCATTGTTAAGAATATTAATCCAGTGCTTAAAAATAAAGATTTTAATGTCTCTCTCTGTCTCACGTCCTAACATGTGGGTGTGAATAAGCATAAATTAATAATTATTGTGATGACTTCATTTGCATATGATTTCTAGTGACCGTTTTGCTGAACATTGTATATCTGCATAATTTTTCAATATCAATAATTACAAGATAAACTTGAAAAAAAGGATTCAAATGAGTAGAATAAAACATGAAAAACATTAACATCAACTTTTTTGGAAATGTGACGTTCATTTTAACATTCTGATTGCCAAATCTTTAGATAGTATAAATTTATCAAAAATTACTGACAAGCTATTATTCATACATACATGTATGTATGTGTCATATTTGTAAACTTGTACTACATGTATAATCACCAAACCCCAGACTGAACATGTTTGGCCCTGTGCCTGACTGACATACGGTTTAATGAAATGAAATTGCAAACATTGTTACACCATTACCGGTATAAATATCATGCAATTTTTATCTCTCTTTCCATGCAAAATGCAGATATAAAATTGAATCCTGGTAGTTATATACGAAGTATCATATCAATCAGAGTACATGTAGAAATTTTCAAGGAAAAGTAAAAAATAACAAAAATATTGAAAAAAAAAGAGAATTAAATCTCATTGAGGTCCACCCAAGGAATGTACTGTGTTACATACACAGTACATTGTATGTATAAAAAGTAAGTATAAAAACAAGTTAACCATTTCCAAGAAGAAATCGATTGCAAAAAAATGCTGTGGGATGGGACGAGACGACAACCAGGGACAATAACCTAGATAACAGCTCTGTCATTTTTAATAACAGTGAAGCTAAAATGTAAAGGCAGTGAATAGTACAACATGTAATCTGGTTGATCATTTTGCTTTCAGAATTTAAATGTAAAACCTGTCTTTTTGGCTTGCATGTTATTTTTAGCTAATTTTTAATTTTGCTATTTCAAGATGTAGTACCAGTAAATATAATACATGTAGTATGTTCTCACAATAAGATTGTCACTTCAGACAAAATGAGATTGTCACTTTAGCCAAATTAAGATTCTGTTAATTTTTGTATTGAGGCAAATTTGCTAAAATAGCATGTACCGGTAGATATTCAAAGTGTTCTGCAGTTGAGTTTCTCTACTGGTTTTTCAAATAATCATGAAATCAATTGTGACCAATATCCAGTAAAAAGTATATGATTGATGAACATCTCATGATGTTTGGAATTAATATGCAAATGTTATGTAATTTTTTACTGGCACAGTGGTTTCAAGCACAACATCAGCGCCTTGGACAACTATTGTTCAGCTTTATTGTTGTAGGAGAGGCTTCTGTAAGTCTAAAATCAACAAAGATGCTGCCATATCTCGCCTCGCTGGTTGGTGGTAGTCATCCCTGACTGGCACTCTAAATTAGTGACCAAGACTATTGTCTTATTCTTACTATAGTTATGCAGCAACCAGCTTGCATCCTGCCAGTTGTACTGGGTAAAAATGTGTTAAAAATGGACCTATATAGTTGCACTGTGTGGTAGTGGCCTATAAACAATACACTAGTTTATTTTGTGAAATTACCATTTCATTGTTTGCAAGTAAACACTTTGGGATAATACAGAAAATCTTTAATTTGAAAGTTAAAATTCTGTAAAAATCTCGTATATCATGGTCAAAGCATTGAGACCATAGCCATGAGGACTTTAACTTTTTACATCCATGTACATCCTAATGTTGGTGCAAAAATGTATGGAGTTCAAAGCAATAATTGGATTAAACTAAAATATGAGAATCTGTTTTGCATTTCTTCATATAGGTGGTGCCAAGAAACCAGGTGTACCAGTTGGCAAAGGTAAAACACCACCAGCCAAGGGGAAAGAAAATCAGCCTAGCAAACCTGTGAAAAAACAACCAACAAAACAGGACCTGGCAGCTGTGGTTATACAGAAATGGGTGCGGAGATTCCTAGCAAAGATAGCACTGCAGAAACAGAAGAAAGAAAAAGAAAATTATGAAGAACTGATGGAACAGTTAGAAAGAGAGGTGAGTACCAGTCAAAGTTAATTGTTACATGCACAAATTGAGGATGATTTCCGGCTCAACACACATTTTGCAGAAGACTGACTTTTCGATCATTTACAGATGTCAATATACTGATTATGCTGTAATACTCGAGTTATTAGTAATTACATGTAAATATTACTAAATATTTCCTGCTTTTCATGCACAAACTCAATTGGTATACATTACACGTATAAAACATGCACATGGTCAGAAATGGTGGCTGAAAGTTTTGGGCACCGTTACATGTACACGTCGTATAACTGATAACATAATGACATTGTTCTTGTCCTCCTTCTCTGTTTTTGACTCCCGTGTGCGAAGCACAAAAAGGGAGTCTTTGCAGTTAGTGTGTGTGTATGTGTGTCCGTCTGTTCCACTGATATCTCAAGAACCATACATCAGTTTTTGATGAAACTTGGTGCTTAGATGCTCTGGGCCAATGCGCAGATTTGATTAGGTTTTGGTAAAAATCCATGCATATTAATTACCTAATTTGCATGATAATTAGCTAATTTTAAGCTGTTCCATAACTGTTCCACTGATATCTAAAGAACCACTCACACAGATGCTCCAAACTAATGCGCAGATTTGATTAGTTTTGGGTAAAATTCTGTGCAATATTAATTACCTTATTTGCATAATGATTAATCAATTTTCCGCTTTTCCACTGATATCTCAAG